CGAAGCTTTCCTACCTTATAGTATCTATATTATCTCGTTCTAATCATACAGACAACTGATTAAGAAACGTGACAAGCACCTGTGGATGAGACTGCCCTTCCCTGTGGTGATACATTCAACCTATGCTACAGCAAGGCTGAATGATCAGGCTATTAGTTTACTGATCTGACATGATCTTGCGATTGCACAACGTATGGCAAATACTGCAACACAGAAAAAATAAACATGAACAAACAAAAAATAAATAGCATGCTGGTCGATTGACTGTATTTCAAAACACAAATAACGAATTGTTATGCATACAATTTGTAGAATTAAAGATAACATTCTTTCTAAAATTAATATATGACTCATCTGCAATGTACAGCTTCAGTTGAAAACGTTAGAACCAAAACGAAACTATAATAATAGAAAACTAGGAGATAGCTGAGTCATTGCCCGCCAAAAAATTGTGCAGAGATACTTTGCATTGTAACTTTCGAAACAAATAAATATTTAAGATATGAAATAATATATTTTTTTACCTGAAATTGCAGCAAATGTTCAGTTTGCTGAGGCGACAAATCTCCGTCGTCTTGGTCCGCCATTTTGGAAGCAATAGCCTCGTTCGCGATTCGATAAAATAATTGTCAATAATGATAATCGCAGCATACTATATTCAGCATTAATACATTTCTCTGCTTAAACATATTAGATTAATTTGTGTATAACTAGTACTTTGTACCACATTACAAATATATTTAAATACCTCCGAAAAACAATACTACATGAGCCGTAGCTTTTGCATGAGGATGAAAGCATAGAGCCACACTGGTGTCAACACAGGTGGCGCTATTCAGGACGGTAGGTTTGCGGCACAGTCACTTGGGGGCTGAAAATCAATAAATACTAATTTTTTTAAAAAAATCCTCCGCTATACGTATATAAATAAACAAGTTGTGAAACATGGCACCTAGTAAATCGACACCCTGTCGGTTTCAAATTTCGATTTCTTACCTTAAAATGCGAAACAAAAATTTTAGAGGGGATCAGGTGTTACGTTAATAACCATTGTTTATAATTGCTATCTTGGTTTTATTCAAAACTGCACAAATCCCGCGTTTT